CTGCAGTGAGAGGTAGCAGGTGTGGAGTGATCGTGCCCAGTGGAGTGGGAAACACGGAGGGCAACACCGTCAAGGGCCGCCGGACGGAGGGCAAGAAGAAAAAGACCTGCGAGCAGAGCTAGGAGTAAGATAAATCCTGTATGCCTGTGGATGTGTGATCTGTTTTTTTTTTTTTTTTTTTATTTTTTTTTTTTTGGTGTAAGAATTGTGATCAGGGGTTTGATCCCTTGATATGAATAAATGAGTTGGTGTGCAGTTTCGTCTTCTTCGGTTTTTTTTTTTTTTTTTTTGTGTAAAAATAAAATAAAAGGAAAAGAAACAAGAGATAAAAAAAATAGCATAAAAAGAATGTGGTAAATGGATTATATTGAAAAACATCCGTGTGGAAATGAATAAATTATAAAATAAAGAGTTGAAAAGCAGAGGTGGGTGAATAATATAAAAATAAAAAAGAAATGAAAAGAGGGGACAAAAGTGGTGTGCTGTGTGATGATAAACGAAAATAAGAAAAAGGGGGACAAAAAGTTGGGTTGGAGTAAATATATAAAAAAGAAGTGAGTGGTAATCCATGTTGGGTGAGTAAAGATATTAAAAATGTTCTCTCATAAGAAAAGGAAGTGAGTGGGTCTAGTGTGGCTTTTAACTTTTCAAAACTCAAAAGCTTCCGGAAAAAAAGAGAGAGTCAGTGCAAAGAGAGAGAGAGAGGTTTCGTAAGCCCCTCTCCAATTTGTGCTGGGTTTGCTGAGAGAGAGAAGAGGAAAATCAGTTTGTGCTACTTTTAGGACACAAAGAATGTTGATGCTAATGGTCAGGCTTAGCTTCCCAGATCCATTTGGAATATTCTCTTATTGTTTCATGGTTGCAAACCAGTAGACAGAAATCACTATCATCACTGCCAAACCCAGCGCATGCTTGCGTTCCCAAGTCACTTGGGAGGGGCTGCCACACTGAAGGCAGCGCTAGAAAGAGGGATGGACCTACCCAAGTTATATCCCTGACTGGACGAACAGGTTGAAGAAGCAAAATGTCTTCAATAGCATTGAACTTTGTTCTTAAAGGGGGCGAGCTTCTTAAACGCACCAGGAAGGAGCTCTCCACTGGAAGCAAGTTTCTATCAACATAATTCAAATTGGCAGGTGGGTAGCTAAAATGAAAAAGCAAGCACATGGCGGAACATTTCACAAAGAAAAACAAGTTGCCGTGTCGTCACCTTTGTCAATGTTCAGAATGTGTAGAAAAGAAACGGAATAGATTAAGGTCCGGCGGACGCTAAGGTGGCGTTGCCGCCCGCCGTGTGAAGCGGAAAATATTAGGTTCTAAACTGCTCTGATACCATGATAAAAATTTAATGTATAAGAGAAATAGACAATTGTATTATTGATTGATATAATGTTGATTAATGTACATTACAATGATTCATGATTCCTATATATAAAAGGATGTAGTAGTAGGAGTAGGTGAGTGAGGTGGTAGGTAGTGGGTAGGTTTAGTGGAGTAGGTGAGGTGGTAGTGGTGTAGTGGTTAGTTTAGTGAGTAGGTGAGGTGGTATTGGTGTAGTGGGTGGGATTTTAACAAATCTCACATTTATGATTAGGATCCAAACTCTAAGTTTGGCAAACATTCTAAAGAAACAGTCTATGCAAAGAATTAAAATTAGCATGTCCTAATATACCATGTCATAAAAAGAAGACTCAGCAATATAAACAGAAAAATTGTCTTATTAGTAATAGCCAAATTTGGTACAAACAGTTAGTACATCGAGCTTAAAAAGCCCATAACTCATGTAACTCGCCCCACATTACATTCCACTCTTGGAGAGTACAACCTTGTCAGACTCAAGACTAATCTAAACCCATTCTTGATCAACAATGACCTAGAAATCAAATTTTGATAAATATCTGGCACATGGAGTACATTGTTGGACATGAATTCTTTCTCCGAAGTCATTTTCAATACAATCTTTCCTTGTCCTTCTACAATTGATGTGGAGAGAAGTTTCTTATAAAAAGTTATTCCCCACTTTTCACTATTTGTAGGTTTGTTGAACATCTTCCTTATCTGCACAGATATGGCAGGTTGCTCTAGTATCCACTAACCACTCCTTGGGATTGCCCACCAAATTTGCCTCAGAGACTACTGCAGCAAGATTGATGTCTACCACTCCATTGGAAAGATAAAAATCCTCGACTATGTTGGCTTGTGCTGGCTTTCTCCTTGAACTCCCTCCGTCCTTGCGAACGTGACAATCTTTAGCACGATGTCCATCTTTGCCGCACACAAAACACTTGCCTTTGAACCTTTTGTTGAACCCATTGTTGATCCCTTTGTTGATCTTACTAGTGGATCCTTGTTTGGAACCATTGCTATATCACGTTTCCGCTTCTTGTTGTTGAATTTTGACCCTTGTCCATGTTCTACAACATTTGCTTTAGCTTGCATGATATGGCTTTCTGACTTTTGTCGAAACCACGGTTGTCCTCCTTAATTCTGAGCCACAGTATCAGTTCCTCCAATTTCATCTCATTACGCTTATGCTTCAGATAATTGTTGAATTCTTTCCAGGATAGTGGCAATTTTTCAATAATTGCCGCTACTTGGAAAGATTCACTGAGAATCATCCCTTCCGCATGTATGTCATGGAGAATTAATTGGAGATCTTGAACCTGGCTAATAACCGTTTTGGAATCTATCATTTTAAAATCCAGAAAACGGCCGACAACAAATTTCTTTGTACCGGCATCCTTTGTTTTATACTTATGATCTAGAGATTCCCACAGTTCTTTTGCAGTGCTTTTGATACTATACACATTATACAGTGTATTATCCAACCCATTGAAGATATAATTCCGGCACAAAAAATCACCATATTTCCATACATCAACTGCAGCAACCACTTGCCGGTCAATTTCTGCCTCGTTCAGTATCGGAGCTTTTTCATGAGTGAAGTAAGTCAAATTCAATGTCGTAAGATAAAATATCATTTTTTGTTGCCATCTTTTAAACTCATTTCCGTTGAATTTTTCTGGCTTTTCCCCATGATTTACCGGTACTGCCGAAGTCATCACTGGCACAACAGGTGTAGGGGTTGGGGTACGAACAGTCTCAGTACTGTTTGTTTTAGTAGTCATATTTCTAACAAAATAATTAATGCACCGATCACAAATTTTTACAGAATAGAATTTACACATAAAATATACAGAATAATATTTTGTAACAAAATTCTAATGATAAACAGTATATGACTACTATGTTATCAAAGAAATCATTAAATAGTATATTACTACTATTTAAGAAATTAAAGAGTATATGACTATTATTTAATTTTCCAAAACAAAATATTCATCTGTCTAACACATAAATAAACAAAACAAAATCTACTTTAAGATTGTTATTCCCACAGTGGATGCGTGTGTGTGTAAATTAAACGACTAAATAAAATAAACAACAAAATAAAAATAAATAATCCAAAAAATAATTTAATAAATTAAATTCTGAATTAAATGCTTATAGAAACTTTAAACATCGAGACTTGTGTTTGACATAATTTTCTTAAAGTAGATTTTGCCCTCGCTCCGATGCTTTGAGATTTACCGGCGTCTACTTCCCAGATGCAACGACTACTACTTGGTTTGCAGCACTACAAACTCAAGTCTGGCGAACCAAAACTATGTTGTGACTCTCTTTTTTTCTTCCTAAAAATAAATGCAGAACAGATGCAAAAAACAGAAAGATGGAAAAAGAAAAAGAAAGACGAAATGCTTAGAGAAAAATTCAATGCCCAGAATTGCTGGAATGGCAGGGTATATATAGGAGAACAGGTGGCTTTTCCGAATAGGTGCCAACGGATAGGAAACCTATTCAGACAGATTCAACAGATAGAAAACCTGTTTGGACAGTTTTGAACAAAAACAGATCTGTTCGGGTGGAATTTCAACCTATTCGGGTGGATTCTAACCTGTTAAGGTGGAGGGAAAAATTTGGACCAATTTATTTTGAATTTTGAAACCAAAATTAAAAAATAAATAAATAAAATACAAATGTTTTTGGCCCAAAAAGATAAGTCTTTATCCATAACCTCACCCTTCCACAAACTTGGGTTCTCCTTGGGGCCCATCCCAAGTATCCCAAACTAGAGTTTATATACCCATATAAATCCTTAAGCCTTTCCAATGTGGGACAAGCACATTTCACAAATGTGTAGGAAACCCACCTAAAGCCATATCTACGAACCCAAAAATGCGCATTGAATTCTCATTCATCCAGAAATAGTTTTGAGCAACCAAATACATGATGTTATTCACTACACGGCATTAAACATGAACCCAATTGGGTCATACCTTAATTAATGCGCAAAGTTTGGAAAAAGTAAGATTTTACAAAGCCATTTTCCAACAAAAAACTCCTCAATATTTTCATAATTATGAGTGTACCCCTTAAAATATAGTTAGGTTTCAAAAAACTATTGACATTTTGCACTTTATACTTCAAAAAGCTACTTTTTGAATTTCTTGTGAAAAACACTTTTTCACAGGCTATTAAAAACGTTTGCACCACACATTTTTACAATTTGTTCAAAACAGTTTAAGCCAACAATCTAAAAATCCATAATCTTATAAGCTAACTTTTTAAGCTTTGCCAAACAGGGATTTAAACCACAATAACATGTTCTATTGCAAAATAAAGAAGCGCCTGACATAGAAAAATATATCATTTACAACAGAAAACAATATTCCATCTGAAAAAAATATTGATTACCTGAGCAACTTTGAAAAGTTCATCCAACCCTTCTAAATTAAGATGTGCGTTGTGCAAGAGATCATATCTGTCCAATGGAACCAGTTAGAATGCAAAACAGGTGAAAATTAGGGTTAGGGTTAGGGTTAGGGTTAGGGTTAGGGTTAGAGAGGAAGAAAGAGAGAAGAGAAGATGTTTTGACTAATTGGTTTAGAGTTATTAATTAACCCTATACCAGTAGCATATATTTATATGAACACACATTATAATATGATATGACCATAGTACCCTCAACTTAATAACATAATAACATCTAACTATTCTAACAAAACCAAAATAATGACCAGTGCAGCAAGGATAAGGTAGAGTAAGCATCAAATAAGAACCCAAACTTCCTTATTAGATGATTAACTTATTTGAACAAAATTAATTGCATAAGGTGTAAAATGCAATGCAACAAAAAAGAATTAAACCTGCAAAAAAATAATACAAATTATAACATGAAATACTATATTTACTAGTGACCCTTTCAAATGAAACCTAAAGAATGTGCACGTTGTGAACCTGTCCTGATGTGCCAAGGCATACCCCCTACAGCCTTACCCCTGTTACGAATCAGAATACTAGATACCTATGGATTTTTGGCAAGTGTGGGTCGTAGGAATTGGAAATAATGGCAAAAAGAACAAGAACAATATTACTGATGAGGCTGCTGATGACTAAAACATCAAATCACAACCATATAACACAAAAATTATGTGGTTCAGCAATCACACCTACATCCACAGGCAAACAGGCAAGATATATCTGTAAGTTTCTGAATAATTATGTATATTCAACTTGGGCTAATACAAAGATTACAACCAATATATATAGCAATCCTAACCCTAATCTGAAATAGGAAATACAATCAATCTAATATTCACAATCAATCTAAAATACATTTCCATAAGTAGCATAAATTCTCACACCCTTGCTCAAACTCAAGATGTTTTAGCATAAAACACGGAGAGTTTGCCAAGAAGAAACTGAAAGCGAACAGTGGTGTGAGTCTTCGTAAAGAAATCGTTGCAAGGCCGAAGAGACGAAAAGAAGCGAGATGGAGCTAGACCGCAGATGCTGACGTATAAAATGACAATCAATCTCAATGTCCTTCATTCGCTCATGAAAGACAGCATTATGTGCAATCTAAATAGCATTGCGGTTATCACAGTAAAAGGAGGTCGGAGAACAATTTTGAAGTAAGAAGAGATAGGGAGTTACATGATGAGAAGCACCAGAGTCAAAAATCCAGACAGACGAAGAGATACCTGAAGAAGTTCCAAGTAAACCTAAATGAACGGAGGAAACAATGGAGGCAGATGGGAAAGGCTGGGAGGTAGACAGTGTATGCTGAAGCTGATTAATCTGAGCTCTTAAGGAAGCCAAGTCAGGATCAGGAACCGGAGCAGATGCAGTAGAACCGGCAAGAAGCTGAAAAATATTCGGAGAATGGGCGCAGAACTGGATCGGAAACTACTGAGAAGACAAGGCAAACAAACATCCCTTCTTGAGACAATGATACTTCCAATGACCTCTCTGATGGCAGACGGCACACTCATCAAAAGACAGAGACTATCGTAATAACCAGAAAACTAAGGTCTAATTGTAATAAAGCAAAATAGCCAAACCAGAGATCAAAGGCTAGTAACTAGAAAGTTGTGGGGTTCAAAATGTAATAAACCCAAAATAGACCACAATAACCAAGCTAGGGGTCAGAGTATACTAAACAGGAAACTAAGGAGCTTCTAGTGTAATAAACCAAAGTGAAAGATCGATGGACGGAGACGAGATACTTGTCGCAATAGCGATCAGACCAAGACCAGAATATGGCGACTTCAGACCACCAATCAGAGGACCTTTGCTACTTCAGACCAGAGAATATATGAACCAAAGATGTCGTGAGTATGAACTAGATGGGTCATGAACTCAGATGAGTTGTACAAGCCAGACAAATCAGAGGATCGAAGCAGATGACCCAATGATGAATCAGACACACAACGATGACGTTTGTAAGCCAGAGGGACTGAATTCGCGAACCAGAAGTGCCAAGACTGAGTCGCGATGAAGCAGGAGGCTAAAGCTGATCGCGAGTTGCTGATGATGACTGAAGCTTATTGCGACCCACGAACCAAAGAGATCCACAAACCCTAAGTCGCGACTATGAAGAAGACCAGAGAATAGAGAGGCCTTCGCAACTTCGGAGAAGCCCAGAGAAGACTTCGAACAACAGGTGTGAACACAAAGGAAGGACTTCGAATGATCAAGGCCAAACATAGGGCTTCGGATGTGGCTCTGATACCATGTAAGTTTATGAATAATTCTATATATTCAACTTGTGCTAATACAAAGATTACAACCAATATATATAGCAATCCTAACCCTAATCTGAAATAGGAAATGCAATCAATCTAATATTCACAATCTATCTAAAATATATTTCCATAAGTAACATAATATTCTCACAATATCGGCCATCAAAAAAACTTGGAGCCTACATTATTCATGAGACTACAATTGTCAATCATAAAACCCAGTGGATTCCGCAATCTCTCTCACACAACTCACCTAAAGAACTGAACATGCCCTTATGTGCCAAGGCATACCCCGAACGGCCTCTCGCTGAACCAACTCAACACCACCACTCATCAACCCATGAGCCCTATATCTTCTCTTTTTAGTTGCTATACCAAGGGAGAAGAGAGTCCTCTAGCAAAGGGCTACTCCGTAGGCTAAACACAAAATGGGGTGCTACATCTTGTTTCCCCACCCCCTTACTTGACAAGAGTCACCTTTTTATTTTATACACTAGAACAATTAAAATCTTCTTTAAACATGTTGTAACCATGTCACCCAAGAAGAAAAACGAACAAGGATAAGAGGCATTGAGACAGAAAAAAGATACACAACAACACATGTTTATTATAAACGTCGGCTTTGAGCAGAAAACAATACAAGATTGGTGCAGCTGACAGTATAGCTGATCCCACATAATTGAATTAAGGATTGCTTGAGTCAAGGTGAGTCTTTTTTTTTACCATAAAGAATATTGAACCTAGAAAAGTATTGTTACAATGAACAGACAACAAAACCACAAACCCAATTCATAAAAAACCATATCTTATGATTTATGGTAAAATTTCAGCAAGTTCAAATATCTTGTATATTAAAAATTCATAAGCACGCAAACACATGTATATATATAACTGAGTAAATAGTTAAAAAAATCAACATAAAAACAGACAATTTTCTGTTAAAAAATAAAACAGGCAATTTCTCAAAAGAAGCATATGGAGAATAAAAAAGTGAAACATGACAAGTAATAATAACCTGCAAACACAATGAGGAGCATTGCTAAGATAGTTTTACCGAGGTTAATCCAAAAAAATAAGAAAGATAGTTTTGCCGAGGATCTTATTCAAGTTAGAACAAGTTAGAACTCGGTTTGCAAACTGTGCATAGCTTCTTGTTCCTTATTGGTAACTTAGAAAAGTATATAAACATAGAACTTATTATAGTGTGCTTCTAATGTAAAATACAAGTAGATCACTTACTTGCAAGAGTCATAAACATCCGGAATTTGTGTTATATCAAACCGTCTGCAAGTGAATCCAAATTGTCAATCAAAATTGCCTGTCTATTATGTCAAATCAATCATATCCACAATGTTGTTATACATATTCCAATAATTAATTCTTTTCTGATCAAAATCAAAACTACTCTTGTGAAATGTCTGTCATCATCATATTGGAAAGTTTCTAAATATTCCAAGATGACTGATGGTTGTTATATACTTTAAAAACTTACTCTTTGCGCTCATTATACACGTCTCTCTCAAGTTTTCTCCAACGAGCGTGCATCAGAAGAAATCCCTCACTCCCACAGGGTAATCCAGCAGCAATACGATCAACATCGATGTTTGTCTTACCAAGGGCCTTTGCCTGGTCATATGGTGGAATTACATCATATGATGCTGTCTCTGCAAGCTTCTCATCTTCATCCTTAGCAAGTAGTCTCACTTGTTCAGTGACCTTCTTAGTCAATTGCACCTATTTTGAAACATATTTTATTAAAAAAAAAAATGAAGGGATAACCAAAATTAGGAACAATTTTCTATTTTCCAATTAAGGAATTTGAACTGAACCAATGACATGAAGAGAAACAGCATGTAAAATAGGGAGGTGAAAAGAGTACAAAACTTTGAAACGTCCACTGTATAATTCAGCATAATGAGAACAAAAACCACACTACATGACAGGAAAAGGAATCAACCACTTTCCGTTAAGCTGTGCCAGGTTCCAAGAAAATATTCCATTTTATCAACCAATTAAAATTAAAAATCAAAATATGCACTGCATCAATCCACCTTTGCTAAAATTCCAATTACCAATTTGGGTAGAAGCTCAGAAGCATTATGAGGAAGTCCAGCTCCATCAACCATCCAAGGTGCATCAGATGATCCATTGCTATGAACTTCCTTTGCTCCCAAAGTTATGATCTCATTCAACCTGGCCTGGTGAAATATAAAAAGAAATAAATTCTAAGATAATAAAATAGTAGCAAGGTAATTTTCAATCAGGAATTTCTGAAATCCAGAACAGAAATTTAGTTGATCCGAAAATAAGGTTCATTTTTTTTTATCAGCAACAGACAAGAAAATTTTATTAAGGCACAAGGCCAAGAGGATGAGGCATCCTCAAACAGGTAAAAGGAAAAATACATCCAAAAAACAAAACAAAAAACAAAAAGCCATCAACCACAAATTATTCAAAGCAAACCGACACCCAGTCTGAAGCGATCAAAAACAAAGGGATCCCACAGAACACAGGACTCGCCGAAGCCCAGAAAGATGCCAAGTATCTCACTCTATCCCATAAATAGTCTATATCCCTATTCCTTCCTTCAAAAATACGCCCATTCCTCTCCAACCAAATGACCCAGGAGATTGCAAAAACCACACTACTCCAAAGAACTTTAGCCCTCTTTGACCTTCCAAAAACTTGAAAATCAAATAATAATATTTGAGCAACACCTTTAGGAGCCACCCACTGTACATTGCCCAAACCAAACGCCCTATTCCATAACAACCTAGCCACCGAACAATGCAAAAAGAGATGATCCAATGATTCTCCACTTTTACAACACATTGTGCACCATTGAGGATTAAGATACCATGAAGGTCTCCTCTTTTGCAATGAATCATTTGTCAAAGTACCCCCATGAACCAAGATCCACATAAACACTTTCACCTTAAGAGGAACACATGCCTTCCAAATCTTCTTATGAAACAAAAACTGAGGTACATGCCGAATATCAATGATTTTATCCAAGAAAGATTTACAAGTAAAAGACCCTGACGAATGAATATTCCAAAACCATTGATCCTCCAAAGTTGGAGACAAAGAAACATTTTCAAGCCTTGACAATAAAGATATCAACTCAGGAATTTCCCTATCATGAAGATTCCGGAAAAAATTAAAATTCCACGAACGAGGGGCCAACAAAGAAACCACCACAGACTCAACAGAACAATTATGAGATTGAGAAATTCTATACAGAAGCGGATAGGATTCAGCGAAGGACAAAGAACCCACCCAAACATCTTCCCAAAATCTAACCGTATCCCCCTTACCCACCCTCACAGAAATGAATTGGGACCAAATTGGATAATTATGAGAGATAGACTTCCACGGAGCACGCCCATTACCCCTAGAAACCACCTGAGAGTCCCTACCATTAACATGCAACCCATATTTGCTTTTGACAACTGCATGCCATAATGAATCACACTCAATTGGGAATCTCCATAACCACTTGCCCAATAAAGCCATATTTCTAGCCAGTATATTACTAACTGCCAATCCTCCTTTCTCCTTTGGTAATGACATTGTTTCCCATTTCACCAAATGATCTTTCCTACCTTCATCCTTCCCTTCCCACAGAAAGTCCCTCATAAGCTTCTCTATGAATTTTGCTACTTTGACCGGAATCTTGAACAAAGACATGAAATAAATAGGAATTCCACTCAACACTGTCTTAACCAAGGTATACCTACCCCCACGGGACAATAAGGCCCTACTCCACCTTTCTAACCTCTTACCTATCCTATCCACCACTGGATTCCAAAACATATCACCTCTTGGATTACCTCCCAGTGGTAGGCCTAAATACTTCATAGGAAATGTCTCAATCCCACAACCAATCAAATCGGCCACACTTTGAATCAGTCTAGGGTCAGCATTAATACCCGCCACCCTACTCTTTTCTAAATTAACCTTAAGCCCTGAAATCACCCCAAAAAGCCTTACCATAGAAAAAAGATTTGCCACTTGGCACTCGTCCCCCGTAGAGAAGAAAATAGTGTCATCCACGAATTGCAAATGCAACACACTCAATCTATCTCTACCAATCTATAAGCCTTCAAACAAGCCCATCTCTATAGCTCTGTCAATCATCCTACCTAACACATCTACTACCAAAATGAAAAGAAAAGGAGATAAAGGATCTCCCTGTCTCAACCCTCGCGTGGCCTTAAAGCAATTCCCTGGCTTACCGTTAACTATTACCGACATATTACAAGACACCAAACAACCCCTAATCCAAGATCTCCATCTCTCACCATACCCTTTCTTATTCATCACGAAATCCAAAAAACGCCAATCTACATGATCATACGCTTTCTCAAAATCTGCCTTGAACACAATGCCTACCTTCCCTGACTTCCTATACTCCTCAACCACCTCATTTGCCACCAAAACCACATCTAGAATCTGTCTACCTTGCACAAAAGCCCCCTGTGTATGAGAAATTGTATACCCTACAGAACATCTCAACCTTTTTTACAATACCTTACCCAAAATCTTGTAAAGAGATGTAGTTAAACTAATTGGCCTAAAGTCTCCCATTCGAATGGCTCCAACCCTCTTAAGAATCAAACAGATAAAAGTGGCATTTGTGCATAAATTCACCACCCCTGTCTCATAAAATTCCATGAAAACTCTTACCAAATCCCCTTCACCACCTCCCAGCAATCTTGAAAAACAGCCATGGAAAACCCATCTGGACCCGGAGCCTTATCCCTATCACACTCAAAAACTGCCTCCCTAATCTCACTTTCCTCAAAAGGTCGCTCTAACCACGTTGCAATTTCCTGATTAATAGGCTGCCACTCAAGCCCATCTATCCTAGGCCTAACAATATCATCCGCCGAAAACAAATTAGAATAAAAATCAAAAATCCCCTGAACTATTTGTTCTTCTCTATCCACCACTACACCTGGCCTAACTTCCAATCGTTTAATGAATTTCTTCTTCCTTTTCCCCTCCGTAATTTTATGAAAAAATTTTGAACTAACATCCCCTTCCTTAAGCCATTTCACCTTTGCTTTTTGTACCCAAAAAATCTGCTCCCTAAGAGTCAACTCTTCCAATTTCAAACCTAACTCCCTCCTCTCTCCCCTCAATGTCTCAATCTCACTCCCTTACATCTCCAAAGTATCTATCTCCTCAATCCTACACAAAGTCTGATATTATTTGATTCCAAGTTCCCGAAAACCTCCCTATTCCACTGTTTCACATTCTCTTTAATCACCTTCAACTTACTCATGAATCTATAACCCTCCCACCCCTGACATGAAGTAGAGTTCCACCACTCCTCAAAGATCTCTTTAAATGAATGATGTTCCAACCACATATTCTCAAATCTAAATGGAGTCGGACCCCACCTAAAAGGACAACTCTCAACCATCACTGGACAGTGATCAGATACCAATCTTAGTAATGCTTCCTGCCTGACATTAGGGAAAACCCCCTCCCACCCCAAAGAAAATAAAAATCTATCCAAACGACAGCATACCCGCCTTTCCCTTAAATTAGACCATGTGAACCTGGCATTAAATAGAAGAGGGTCAACCAACTCGCACCCTCTAATAAAGCCATCAAAATCTCTCATACTCCTATTGATTCTATTCCCATTAAGTTTTTCCGAGACCTTCCTAACTACATTAAAGTCCCCTCCTAAACACCAATTAGGAGAACATAACCCAAATAAACCATATAACTCATCCCACCAAACCTTTCTCCTAGGAGGGCCACTTGGACCATACACCCCCGACAACCACCACTCACTGAGATCTAGATTCCAAAACCTAATTGATAATGAAAACTCACCAACTACTGATTCACACTCTAACACAACCCTCTCATCCCAAATACTTAAAATACCTCCTGACCTTCCCACTAACGGTACAAAAGCCCACCTTTTATGCCTACTTCCCCAAATACTTTTAATAAAAGACCTATCACAAGACTGTACTTTAGTTTCTTGAAAAATGAGAATATCAGGTTGATGTTTCCTCAAAAAATCCCTAATGATCCCCCTTTTCTTTCGGGACCCCAAACCCCTCACATTCCAGCTAACAATCTTCATTGGTAGTCATTGTCACCCCTAACCTTCACATGCCTCCTTTCATAATTAATTGTACTCCCCAAACTCCTTAACTCCCTGGCCCCCTTTCTAACTGAAACCCCTCCTCGTCTAGTACTCTCCTCTGTAGTGACACTATTATTCACTCCACTACCATCACCCTTCCCATTTAAACTTACTAGGGATAGCCCCATAACTTGAAGCAAATGCTTGAAATGGGGTACTTCATTCTCCCCAATTGGACATGACGCATACTTACTCAACTCCATCAACCAACGTTCTGTCTCTACCTCACTATCCCTCATACTACTAAAAATACAGCCACTTTTGTGCGAATGTATTACAGAAACACCTTCTGAACATCATTTGCTTGGCCTGCACTTATATTAGCTTTATAGGATACAGGGTTATTGGTAGGAACATCCCTCATGGCTCCAGAGGTATCTGGAATGACTCCTCTATCAACCCTTCCCCTGACAGAACACTTGAGAGCAAGACACTGAGAAACCCCCTTCCCATCCCCAAGAGAAGAAGAATCAGGAATAACAACATGACCTCTCTGTGGTGACAGTTCTGTAAAGCCATGATTAACAGAGTCACTGACATGATTCATTGTTTCAGAGACCTCCTGAATTTCATCCTCCTTGATATGCCCTTCTCAATTTCTTCTTCCTCAACATTGTCCTTCTCAGTAAAGAGATTAATAAGCTCGAGATCAGACTCTCCTTGATTTTCTTCTTCACGGCCTGAACCAGATTCATACTCTGAACTCTCCTCAGACCCAGACCCATATATGTTCAAGGCTTGCAGCACTTCATTTGGATCAAAACACCCTTCATCCACCTTTTGACTCAGCATTTCAGCATCAATGTCTACTTCACCTCTTTCATCGACCCACTCATCCCCTTCCGCCACTAATCGCTGCTCACCTTCGACAATGACATCCACCCTATCAGCTAAACCAAGCTGAATCTCCTCCTGCGTTAATCGATCCTGACTGGCCCCCTGTAAATAGTCATCACCTTCGCCCTCGACACCCCCTTTCGACCCACTACACCACTACCACCTCCACTTCACCTACTCCTTACCTACTACACACTCACCCTCTTCTATATATAGGAATCATGAATCATTGTAATTGAAATCAATATATATCAATCAATAATACAATTCTCTCTATTTCTCTATACATAATTAATTCTCTCTATTTCTCTTTATACATTAAATTTCTACATAAACCAAGCTGAATCTCCTCCTGCATTAATCGATCCTGACTGGCTCCCTGTAAATAGTCATCACCTTCGCCCTCGACACCCCCTTTCGACCCAGACAACCATCGTCGTTGGACCTCTCCCACTCCAGGTAGTCGTCCTTCGTCTTCAATCGAATCGGTTCGAACTTCAGCTCCCAATGGTTGAATCTCAGCCCTAAATCCCTCCTCCAAGATATGAGCCCCGCTCATATAACCCACTGGGCCCACTTCATTTAACTTGAGATTATCACTTCTAATAGGCCCACCATTATATTCCTTAGAACTTTTAGAAAATGGCCCATCTGTTGGACAGACAGAAGTGGGCTTCTGATAACTACCCTCCAAGCCCACAGTTCGTGAATCACTTGAGCCCAGAATTTCATTCGGCCCATCATAACCCTTCTGTGGCCCATTCAATATCATTTTGATCCCCCTAACTGTTGGTCTTCCCCCTACCTCTACTACAGCACCGACTCTGCCGCCAGACCCTTCCACTCCTTCGCCTTTTCGACTTCCCTTTACCCAACTTCCACGTGTCCTTCCTGACCCATCAGCTTCCATGTCAGCGGCGATAGGATCGCCTGTGGACACTAGTCGGAAAACCTTAGGCCACTCTTCCACTTGGCGTCGTGCTGTCTTGGACAAAGCGTCCTTCCACCTTCACCTCCATGAACGCCGGCAGAAAACCAAAATCGAATCCTCTGACTTTTAACCGAGCCTCAAAAAGATTATCCAGAGCAATGGTTCTTCGATCAACTTCCAACAAACCACCACATCTCTCACCTATGATCTGAAAAACCTGGTCATTCCAAAGAGTGAAAGGCAAATCACACATTGCAATCCACCCTCCATAAGAAACGATGACCTCAGATTTAACATGCATCTCGTTAGACCACTTCTCCAAGCTAACTGCCACACCTTTGTCAAAGAATCTCAGACCCTTTTCTCCCAGAAAGTTCGCCTCCTCAATGTTACTAGCCCAGAACAGAGCTCAATTGAGTTGGAATGGCCTTAAAGCAATATTTATCTTTAAATACTTGCTCAGATTTTTCTCAATTAATGGCCTTAAAGCAATATTTATCTTTAAATACTTGCTCAGATTTTTCTCAATTTGAACCCAACTACTTGAAAAATCATACCTTGTACATACAACAGCCCTCTCCAAATCACTCTTTAAACTACCTAGCCCATTCACAGTGAACAAATCAACACAACTCCTACCTCTGTTTGCCCCTGTTTTTCTATCCATAAAACTCTACTTTGCGTTCTTGCTCAGTTTTTCTTTTATGAAATCAGCCCTGACTTCCATACCTTTGAAATTTGCCTTGGTGTCAATGCCGATGACTTTACGAAGCATTGTAGCAATTTGAAACCACCCACGACCATTATACCCTGCTGGAAGAATGATGTTGCCTTTTTTAATACCTCCCTCCCATTTTGACATCTCAACAAAAACACCCTTATCATTTGTATACTTTTGTAACCAGAAAACCGCAGAACTACTACGATACTTGCTAAAAAAAGATCCTCCTCTGAAGCTTGACCCCAACTGCTGAAGCGCTTGGACAGCCCAGCTCACTCCTCCCAAATCGATCTTCAACGAAAAACTATGCGCTCTATTCCTCTCTATAATCTCTACTATGCTCCCTCTAGATTTTTCATCAATCTGTATAATAATGAGCTTCTGTTCGATCCTCAGTTCTGAGGATAGCTCCCGATACAACCTCACCATCGTCCCGATACAAAAATAGTTGCCCAGAAGTTTTCAATCTTGGCTGCTCCTGTACTCATTAATATTTTCTTTGATATCTGAAAATAAGGTTCATCACCCCACATCCTTCTACTTAACCTCCGGCGACCCATCAGTGGCCACCTTTTCCTTCTTCACTATCACTAGTGGCTGATGGTGGCCACATCCACCACTACCCACCTAACTCTAAAACATCAACCACCATGGCCACATGCAGCCCTTATTTCCCTCAGCTCTGACCGCTCAACAACTCCATTACCCCTACCATAGGCCCATAGCACAAACTTGTTCTTCGATTCCTTCCATCACCTTTTTCTCAGACCTACCTTCTCTTTTCTTTTACCCCAATATCTTTTTTTTTTCAGAAATTGAATATAGAACAGTTTCTTTGAAAATGACTACCATATATGAGAAATGATTTTTGACCTGATATATATATATATATAGGTATGTATAGACATGAATACCAGAGCATAGCCATAGAAGGACAAAAAACCTTAGCCTCTTCCATCTCATTACTGGCGTTGTCAAGTCCATCCAACATAGAAGAGTCCTTGCTAACAAGTGAAACCTTCAAAAAAATAGACCATCTCAGTCATACAATACTCAAGTCAACAAGCAGAAAGAAAACCTTGGGGCAAAAAGGCTGTACCAGGATTGGTGTTAGTGGTCCTTCCAAGTCTAGGAGGCCTTTGGCAAATGCAGCTGCAGACATCTGCCAAGAAACCAAACCAAACCAAACTAAGCCTTGTGTCCCAATCAAGTAGGATCATCAACAGATATCTAATAAATGAAGTCAGTTATAAAGAACACAAAAGTCAAGCTAATGATGTTATGGCATTGACTTTAACCACATAAAACTTGGATGACAGTGTTTAGAGGCGAAGGGGAATTCATCATCAAAATTCCTATAGACTGAAAAGTTAGAGCACAAACCAGGAAAGCAATTGAAAATTAAACTAAAGATACCAAAAAAATACACCAGAAGCTATACCTGTACGCGACCTTCATCAGAGCTGTATATCTTAAGATCATGGCGATATGTACTATGAAGGCGAAGCAAGCCAGTTCCTTCACCTAAAATTTGGGGGAGAAAAGAAGCAGCTATAAAATTAGTATCATGGCAAATTAATTGGACTTTACTAGAAAGCTAATAGAGTTGTTTGCACACTACTGCAAATGAAAAACCACAACCTACAAGTTGAATTTGTCAGGGTAGAATTCACAGTGATATTTGCTTGGCACATTCCCAAAAGCTAAGCTTTTTAGTTAACTAGTTTTCTGTTGTTAGTGTTCAAAGCTTTAGTTTTGGGAGGTCCTAGGTTCAAGTCTCTCAGCTTGTATTTACTCCTCATTACTTTTATCTGTAGGGATTTTGTCCAATTTCCATTTGCAACCCATTCTATATGTATACACGGGCAAATGGGGCTAAGAAACCAGAATGGTATCCAGACCTTCTTTGTTTCTTTCCAAAAGCCTGTTAAAATTTTGATAACATGTCAATCAAGTGCAAATACATGACATGAAATGCTCAGAAAAATGACTTCAATAACGAGATATATTACATAGCAGGAAGTCTGACACAAATCAACCTTCCACTCTTGAGGCTTTGACAAAGAGCACCACAACTCTTGTAATTCATAATGCCTTTCAAAAGTGGCAACATCAATACTAGCATGCCTTCCCATGCATTTATTTAATTAATCAAACCCACGAGAAAAATATGGGAGATACAAATGGAATGGCCAAAATTATTGTCAGTTTCCACAGTTTGTTTATAGCAAAGCATGTATCTTGTTAGGAGAAAACGATTGATGTTACCCAGTAATAGGATACAAGCAGAGTACTAGAATAAGAGGTCCAACTATGAGCAATTTTTTTAGAGAGGAAAAATTACAACAGAAAACAATATGGTTTCTCCAATCTAAGATTCCTATACATACAAAGCTAATACTTGATCAATTTGGCTATGGGAAATTATGTATTCTACAAAGAAAAAGGATTAATGGTCCCATAGTATACAAGCAGATAACTAGAGATGTAGATTCAGCAACCCTAAAAGATGAGCAATATATTTATGAAAAAATAAAAAAGCTTCCCACTTTGCACAACTTTTTACAAAAGTAAAAATGAAAAATGAATGATTCCTAATCATTATATGGATCTGGTGCCTGACCCTCTATGAAACTGGGGGATGTGACCTCTGGAGAATGGCAACTTCCCCTTGCCCTAGATTTTTGGACCTCAAAATCTTCTGGTATATCTCCTATAAATTATAGGAAAGGCCACAGATCCCTTCTTCTGGAGATGAACAATGACATGCATCCCTGAGCCGAGTAAGAATGTGAGCTAGGAAGCTTGAATACAGACATGGGACACAGACACAACATTTTTCTAAAAACTACAAGACGACTCATTAGTGATCCGTTAAATAGTGTTTTAAAAAATATTTTTATATGACCATATAAAAAATCAACATTATTTTAATGAAACTAGGAATAAAAAAATGGGTAAACTAATAATAGGTCTTAATAGTTAGACTTAATTCCCATCAAGTCCTAGTAAAATCGTTGATAAAAATAATTTTGTGACAATTTTTTGCATATGTCGCTAAAAATTGACAACTAGCGACTTTTTTTGTCACAGATTTTATAAATTGTAGCTAAAACTTACAATTAATGACATTTTTTGTGACGAATTTCTCAAACTGTCGCTAAAAGTTGAAAATTAGTAACATTTTTTTGTAATGATTTTTTTAAACTGTCGCTAAAACTTATAATTAGTGACATTTTTTGTGACAATTTTCAAACCGCCACTGAAAATTAACAATTAGTGACATTTTCTAATAGTGTTTAATGAAAAATGCCATTAATTCTCACGAGACCTACTGGATAATAAGTCCACCTATTAGGACCTACACGTAAATCCTCCTAAAAAATTACACATCGCAGGAGGAACCCAACTAGCAAGCAGATACAAAATACAGAAAGAACCCAACTGAAACACAAGCTAAACAAACAAGGACCACCAATCATGAATACTTCCACAAAAAGTGGCCTGCACGTGTTATGTGCTGCCAAGTGAGCATGATGTGCGTAACAGAGGATGTGAAGCGAAGTCCCCCATAGCCTGGGTACAAAAGTAATGCGCAGTATATAAGCGTGAGAGTGCCCTCACTTCCAAAAATCTAACCAAGACCCTGTAACAATTCTGGCCTAAAAGAAGCTCAAGCGACCTCAAATTAAAAGCTAAACATAGAAACCTAAACTAACCTTTGATGTGAAACATGCAAAACAAAGGCTATAACAAGTACCATGGAATGTAGCACCACTCAGATTTATCAATATCCCTGTATATTTCCATTGATCAGGCATCATTATGATGTGACATATTGAAGTACAATGAAAACAAACAAGCTATGTACTGAATTCCTACCAATTAATGACAGTCAAATAAAAGTCTGTAATTGCTATAATCTTCCACTATCTTCCATTTAATTACTAAATTAAGAACCCCAAAGTACCAATCTTCAGAAATGATTTCGTTAAAGAATTTAACCTGGATACATGTTGTTGCGGAAATATCTACCCAGTTCTTCAGCCTACCAAAACACATGAGCAGCATATTAATGAAGCAGAACAATGGTAAAAGGTTATGTATAAGTACAACACAAATCATTAATTCTTAAGGACAATAAATATCAGAGTCCTCATTTAAGTGTAAAGAGGTCCACACTAACAAATGAATGATCTGATTAAGAGTTAGCACCTGCTTTCTGCCGGCATGTGTAAGAACACCCCCGTATTTAAGAACCATTAGTGCTTCAACAGACAGGTCGTTCTTCTTCACCTTCCCCATTGCTTTTTGCAATTTTAACCCACTTTAATGGCTTTAGTTGAACCTTCCTATAAATGCCAGAGAAATGTCCCCCCTGGATGCCCAAACATATATAGGTCAAACAGAAAACATATACAGTTTGAGCTCTGGTTATGTATTTAAGAAAATGGAGAAATTTACCTAAATCTAAATGTAAAGATAACGTTCTATGCCCATCTTCAATGTATAGTCAGGCATTCAATACCAGTTGAAGCATATTGTTGCCTAGTTGGTTAAATGTCACTAATCAGAACACACTACTATTAAAAATATGTGCTAGAGTCTTTTTGGTTCACTATGCCATTTGCTAGGTTTAAATATAACTATATTGATCTTAGTAACAGGTTCATGAACATGGTTCACTAAGCTATTTATCTAGGTTTGAATATAACTACATTGGTCTTAGTAACAGATATAGAACATGGCTCCAACTTCCAAGCCAATACCAAATGAAAAGAAGTTTGATTGTAGTTCTCCTAGCAATGGCCAGGAATGTTCACTTACAACCTAAACAATTTCAGGAAAGTAGCAGACAACCAAACAGTAAGATGCCCCATCTTCTATGTGATGAATTGTCTGAAACTCATCTAAAATATGCGATTTCTTTAAGATAGCATAATACTCCTTTAGAATACAACAACACAATGCTTTCGGAATAAACAGCAAAAAGTAGAAATTCCAAGAAATAAGTTGCAACAGCATATATGTTCACATGCAAACACATAAATTCATAATTGCCTAACAGATTTTCCAAAACATAAGGTAGAAAGTAATAAAAACACCAAAACTGATACACCTGCTGCTATTTATTTTTTTTTATAAATAAATGCAATATTATTAGAAAGCAGCATCAAGCTGATGCAAAAGAATACAACGAAAGAGTCCCAGTGGAGGGAAAACAAGCCTAACCAATCAAGTCATCTAAAAGATACACCTGCTGCTCTCTATGCAAGGTCGTGCCATTTTTCAAAAATCAATAAGAAAATTGCCCAATATTACTTATTTAGTGAATTCTTTGACTTGCAAACAATTGTTAAATCCAAAATATTTATCATCAAATCCATACCTCATTCCAGGACATTATTAGCTTGGGACTCTGAAGTGCCAAAATAATAAAATAATGGTTCGTCCATCAATCGTCCTCAGGCCTTTAACATGCAATTCAACCAAATATTCAAATTGCCAACGAAGTTGGTTAAATTATATCTCAGAGCAAAAAGGCAAATCAATTGGTATCAGAGAAACTGCTTAGCTTTTTCAGTATTTGGAACCATGTTGCAAACAAACTCCCTAGTTGATATTATACTCTGACACAATCTGATGCAGGCCACACCTGCAACTCAATTGTAACTAGGACTCATTTGATCAGGTGAAGGTGGAAACACAAGACCCCAACTACCCAAAAAAACAATAAAAGCAAGAAAGAAGGTAGTGTTTTGGTAGAGTTTTAGAATTATGATTTGAGAATAGAGTTGTATTTTGAGTTTGTGAGTTTTGGAATTATGATTTGAAAAGAGAAAATTTGTTTGGTTATGAGTTTTGAATTGAGTTTTGAATTTTTGATGAAGAGAAAAGTTGTTTGGTTATAAGTTTTGAAAAGAATTTTCAAAACTTAATTCAAAAACTTATAACTCATAACCAAACACACAACTCAAAACTCTATTGAAAATTCTATTCAAAATTCATAACCAAACTCTTTTTAAAATTCAATTCAAAAAAATAATTTGTCATTTTAGTTTAAAAAAATAATTTGTATATTTGAAAAATATCAAAAACAAATATAAATTATTTTTTTTTCCCAAATAACAGGTGGCAATTGGCAACAACAAAAAAAAAAATTGTACTATTCCGGTCAACGGATGTCCGGGCGAATGACCGGGTAGACCAAAAATTCAAAAATTGTTTGCTTCACCAAACATGTTTTCAAAATGTATTTTAAAATTGAGTTGAAATCATGATTTAAAAACTCAAACCAAACATAGCATTCAAATATAAGGGTGGAATTAATTTTTGAAAGCTCTACAAAACACAGCCCTTTACTCTGCCAAACTACCTTCAATTTAGTTCACTATACAGAAATTAGTAATCCAAAAATCATCATTTCAATAGCTATATAAATAAATTACTAAGCTTACATTCAACCCACTTCACCACTCTTTTAAATTTTCTAGACACCCATCATATCTTCTTGAGTGTCTTAAGCGCAAAGAAAATTAAAAACCATAACCACCACCTCTAGACATATGTTTAATAAACTATTTGACCGTGACTAAGTACAGTATTAATCCCAAAATAGCATTAATGACCTCAATATATATTAAGAAAAAAAACTCACAAATAATTCAAATTTGGAATGAGAATGTCCGTTGTCCAATCTGACAATCTATAACCGAGGTTACATGATACATCTACTCCTAATCATTATAATATCTAAGGAATCTAAAAAAAAAAAAAAAAATCATAGCTGTGTAGCATCATTGCAATGAAAGTATTATGGTATTGGTACCACTGTAGTAGACAATTCCATGACTCTCAGTGAAATTTCGATGAATTTAACCGGATGAAAACATAGAAGCATCTTGAAATCATATTGAAATCATACCTGAATCCTCTCCTCCAAAAAAAAGGAAGAACATCCACTGTATGTTCACCTTAAGTTGATAACATTCTATAATCTCTTTTTATCTCTCTGCCCTGATATAACTAATCTATAATTCATTCCTGACAGAATCTAGTGTAATACTATTTTGGGTAATGATGCTTCCATCAAAGGATTAAAGGAAAAAGTTTACTGTGCAGTTCTCTAATTTTTTAGTTGAATGAGATCTTATGGGTGATGGTTTATGAGGTCAAGGTTAAATTCATGGATTTTCTTTTCTTCCGAAATATTCATCTCTCTCATCAAGAAAAGGCTGAATTTTGCCACACTTGAATGCAAATGGGGCCATTGAAATCTTTAATCCATAAAAGGTGACTCTCCTCTAAACAAAAATGAGAAATAATAAGCATATAAAATTCAGATTTCATAATTTGAAAGAGAATACATGAATGTACCTCCTCAAGAACTGCTTTAACTTGACGGAGTTTTTCAGCATGCTCAATGTCTTCTGCTTCACTATCACTTTCACGACCAGGTCTAAATGATGTCGAATTTTGTCAATGCAGAATTCAATAAGCAAATAAAAATACAATTTTTTGTTTGTGGGCATTAGTGGTGTTTCAGGCTTAATGTTATGCATGTTGAAATCTGAAACACAGTAGCATAAGTAGACAGAGAAGGCAAGAAGGCAGATTGTTATGCTTGAAAGACAAGTTTTGTTACAACTTCTGGAAGTTATATGTAACTTGTGACAAAAAAAATTATCTGTACATACAGAGTTATACCTAGATCGTGGTACCAGAATTCTTGTGGCATCTAACAAATCTTGCAACTGAACAGCACTTTTAAGTTTTGTCTACCCGAAAAAAGACACAAACAGTAAGTAGCATTACACAAACAAATTGATAGAATGAAGAAAAAGAAAAGAAAATAAGCACCTCCGATCTAGGCCTCCCTCCATTGTATTTTAACATCAAATTTAACAGCTTTTCCTCAGTAACTTTCAACTTCACCTTCTGTTTAGGAGTTCTATCACCACTGCCAAACAAAAAATGTGAATAGATAGTAAAAAAACAAGAAATACGACCTAATAAAGCTATTAAAAAAAAGGATATATATCTTACTGACGAATAACAACAATCACACATCGTAGCTCCTCGGACTGCCCAAATTTCCCAATAATCCCACTTCCCTGGCGTGTTAGTCCCTCAAAAGGCTGAACCGGTTCATTGACTTTCCATGGTAGAATTGGTGGAATTGTTGAAGAAAGATGGGGAGCTTTTGCATCTAGAAACATCTTCCTCAACACACAAGCAGCATCATCATAATACCTATAGTTCGGAAGATATGCCATAATTATATTTAACAGTAAAGTCAAAAGCACAAGTGAATACAGTAGTTAGATAGCAAAGGAGAAGATAGTATATGTTACAGTTGTAGTATCAATATGTTTGTGCACACAGGCATGCACAATGTTCTAAATAACACGCTCAAAAGTGTTGATTGTTCATGATCCCAATTGCATTCAGTCAGACGAGAAGGTTGAACCAAAGAAAGAACCAATTCTCAAATTATCAGTCAAACCAGTTCACTTGACTGCTTCAGCTTTAATGTGAAAAATCATATTTAATGATCAAAATAAAAAATAAATAAAAATAAGAAGCTCTAAATTGTGGGGAATGGGGACACCAAGTGAGTTTTTGGAGTCAATTGTGGTGCAGGGTGTAGAAGTTGGAGGCAGCCAATCCTGCTATTGATAGCATTGCAATCAAAGAAGGGCAGCAATTAGCAAGTACTTGAAGATAGAACTACAATATTGGTCCTCATAGAGAGCTAGATGATTGGGAGGTTAGGGGGATGGTGGATCTTCTTGAATGTTTTTTTGCCAATCTCGCATTGGTGAGGAAGATAATTCTTTGCATTGGTTGAGATCGAAATCCGGAGGCTTTAAGGTGAAGTCCTATTTTGATGCTGTAAAGGGTCAAAGGAGGTCAGCTTTTCTTTGGAAAATGGGTCAAAGGAGGCCAGCTTTTCTTTGGAAAGGAATCTGGATTACAAAGGCTACTTCTAAGATTTGTATTTTTTGTATGGATGACAACTTGTGGCAAGATTCTCAATATTGATAATTTAATTAGAAAAAATCAAATCCATGTTAATTGTTGTTACATATGCAGGCATGATGGGGAGTCTGTGAGAATCTTTTTATTCACTGTGAGGTGACATGTTTGGGTTAGAGTGGGTTTTCCCATGGAAGGTGACAGATCTCCTTCATTTTTGGAGGGGAGCTATAGTGGGAAAGAGAAGGAAGGCTAGGTTTTTGGTGCCTAGGGCTTTAATGTGAATTGTATGGGGAAAGCATGATCAGAGCAATTCTGATGGGAAGAAATAAATAACCCATTTACAGATCTAAAAGTAAACTTTCATCCTTTTTTGTATAGTTAGTTCTTGGGCACTATTGATCCATCCTTGAACCTATTTTTAGATTTTGTAGAGGCCTCAAATTTTTCAGCAGAAACTGGTTAGTTGTGAATTTGAAACTGGAAAAGTGTCAAATGAACCAATGAGCTGTAGCTCAAGCGTTCAGTGATTAGGAACTTTGTGATGCTAGTGCTTCAACTTCCTCTTGCAAACTTAATATCATACACAGAAGGAAAAAAAAAAACAGGAAGAATAAGCAAGGATATTGAAAAACAACAACACTGCAAATAATAACATGCGAATCACTGTGACGGATTCAAAGAAAAATATAACCATTATTACTTGTAGGAGTTCTTCACAAAACTCCATCCGTTCACATCACAGACATATGAACGCCCCTCACAACGTAGAAGATCAAACCCACAAACCTACAAGCAACATGAAGAAATATAAATCATTAAACAATACAATAATTTCTTATGTAGAAGTGCACTTGCATGCATGCTCTGAAGCACATCATTTCTAGCACTCCCGGTCTTAATTTACAAAATTGGAAATAGTGTCAGTACTCAGTCCTCTAACAAAAGAAAAAGCAATATCACAGAAGATAAAGCACGTAATAAAAGTGCTGATCTCTATGACATCTTCCACCTATACAAAGCATGTGAAAAAATTTATGGAGGTGCATAACCAATCTGGAAACATCAGAAGCTCAAGAAAGCCAGCTAAACTAAATGCAGGACTTATCTAATTGACATATCTTTATCAGAAACGGTGGTCAACATGCCAATGCCAAAGCAATTTCTGCAAACAGCAGTCATATGAGTTTGAGGAATTGACCTATTTTCATTCTAAAACATCAGCAACAATCAAAAGTGAAAAACATTGAGTGGGAAATTCCATAGAAACAAGTGGTGTGATAAAAACAAGAAAAATGGGAAAAGCGTGAGACTATTAATCGGGATTTCAGAGCACATTAAATCACAACTGAGAAATAATGTAACAATATAATCATAACAACAATAAAAGTAGTAACAATAAAGCCTTGATACTATAAACAATTAGTAATACTTTCTTGAGGATTTAGATGTCTTACCGCTTGCCTAAACGCAACGCAAACCTCTCTTGCCATTTGCTTCTCAGTTGGAGTAAGTAGCACAGGGTACCTTACCTGCCACATGAAGTAAACTTTCATATCCTTCACATATGTTCCTTTTTAAGCCTAGGAATGAGGAGTACCAAAAACATTTGTTAATCCTAAACCATGGTTATTAGTTGCCGCTTCATAGATGCACCTACAGATAAATGCTTCGCCTGCAGTTCTCAGCTCACAACCTGATCTTAATAATTTTCCAGCTATTTTTAAAATGATTATCCTAATTTTACTATTTTTACAAGCCTCACATTATACTCAAGATATTAGGCATAGAAACCTAATCCCAAGAGTTTATAATGTACGAATATAACAAAACTGAAATGAGTTCAGGATTTGAGAATGGCTTCTAACTCGATCAAGTTTGACAGTGCTTAGTTGAGTTCGCTTAACTATTGCCAAAAACTCAACTCCTATTTCAGATGAAAAGTATAGATACCAGCCATGCAGATATGGAGAATCAAACAGCCATCATTCCTTTTGTTGAATAACATAAATTAATTAACCAAATTCAGCAGTTTGAAGGTTCACTGATCGCCAGTCAAGACAAACGAGGGCACTGAAAACCCAAAATTATTTTCCCAGAAAATCGAACAACTATGACTTATTCTTGGCTTCATGTTGTTATCGTTAGCTGGATACATAAATAATAGCTTCCACTCCTTTCACAACTAATTTTTCAAAATGTGCAACAGAAACATAGTTACTGAATCTATGAGAAAATGTTCCATGGTGGTTACATTTTTTATTTTTCATTTTGGTTTCATACACACACACAAAATGGCAAATTCACTTACAGTACCCCTAGGAATTAGAAAGAGGGAGGAGGGAAGGAGAGAGGTTGAAGAAGAGGCATCTTTTTTGCAAAAAGGTATGTCTAACATGTATTACTCACTTCTTTGCCATCAGGATTTCTCATAACAACACCATCAACAACAGGAGATTTCCTTGCCTCAGCATGTGCATACTCAGTACCAACTGTATATACCTGCAAGAAGTTGACAGAAGCTAAGGCAGTTCTGTGTAAAAAATCAGAATGTGAAATTCTTTGCTTTAAACGTAGAACCTGACATGTGGGATGGACATGTATAAACCATTTAATTTATTCTTCTTGAAATTTTTCCTCAAGTATTTGAAAAGCATACTAAAATCAGAAAAGACGGAAAGGAGAGGAGCAAGAAGAATGAAAAAAGAAAGGAAAAAAAAATAAAGAAAAAGAAACTATTTTTACAAATAATACGGAATCTTTCACAAAAGTTGTTACTCTGATTCTAAAGTTCACGCTTCAGAAATTCCCTTATGACATGTAAAAGCTAGGAGACCTAAGAAAAACCCACTTCCAGAAGCTTCTGCTGTCTGTAAAGATGAGGAAGGACAACTGACCAAGAAAAGCCGGAACCTCCCAGTGAAAAGCGTTCCTTTTTTTTAAGACCAGAAAATCGTTCTTCGTGAATAATTTCATACTTCAAGCTCATGAAGTTAAATCCTTCAGAATTTCATTTGCATAGAACTTCAAAACGAACTTCATACTTCCATATTCACATATTTCAGAACAAACTAAAAATTCTCCATAATGTGGGTAGTTTTTTGATATTTTAAGAACTTCATTTATCTGTTTCTTATTACGGAATGGGAAACAAGGAGTCCAAACCCTGACCAACAGTGGGTTGAAGCACTGGTCAATGGTCATAAGGTCAATTTCATCTGCTGGACAAAATATTTCTTAAGGTGCTGAAGGCAGTGCTAAAATTACAATAGATGTAAAAAGACGGTGACCTGGTGCACAAGGCTCCCACTGAAACAGGATCTGTGAAGAACAAAATGTACACTGCTTTACCCACAATTTCTGGAGAGGTGGTTCATGTGACTCAAATCTGCACCACCAAGGGCGTAATGGAAAGTCTAACCATTGGGCCGAGCCACACTATCTAAAAGTACAATAGATATGCCAGAACTAAAAAACTTGACAAAATGACGGATGTCAAAAGAATTTGCAATAATAACCTAAGCCATCCTCATTAGCAAGGTGCAAAATAAGAAATCCATTTGCTAACAGTACAAAAACATAGGCCAGAAACCTTGACATCTGTTCCTCCTGTTGGCATAAATTCCTCGTAAATATAAGAGCCTCCACGCCTCACTCTTCTAACCTCTGGGTGAAACTCACTTGACCTGTTACCAACCTAAATTCAAACAAACAAAAACTTTATGAATCTGGAACGTAAGAATAATCACAAACATCAACAAGCCCAGATGGTTTTGTGGTCAAATTAGAAAGAGCGCAACTCCAACAATATCTACTTGAGAAAATTTTCGAGAAAAAAAAAAAACAGTACGAATGCAAGCTTGTTGTAATCACAAAATGGAAGAAAGGAGGATATGTTCGGCAGAAAATATAAGTTTTGAAGTATAGTTCTAAAGTATTGTTTTTACAATTTAATGGAAGCTGGATAACTGAATAATCCTTATAATTTTTTTACCTTGTTTGCAGAAGATATCAACCAAGACAGATTTCCGCAATAACAAATCATAACAAAGAAAAAGTTAAAGTATATGCTGGAAATTGTGTTCATGCATATAATATGATAGTGGTGTTGGTGGTAGATAGTGGCATGTATAGAATATGATAGTGGTGTTGGTGGTAGATGAACTAGGGTAATATATCATTATGCTGTGATCATCACCTTCACAAAAGCACAAAACTGAAATTTGTTACCCATGCACACTTATAAAGGTGATACTTGCACATTAATTAAGATACCAAAATAGTTAAATATCAACATAATTGTAACTAGCTAAAACATAAATATCTATATCATTAATCAAGCAACTCAAAATTTACTCTTGATCATAATAAGATTCATAAACTCATAATAAAGCCCTATTAAAATATAGGCAACATCAAGACACTACAAGCAACTGCAATCATCATGCTAATCATATGCCTCAAAAATGATTTTTTTGCCATAAATGACATGAGGCACAACCAAAGAATATCTCCATTACAGATCTGGTAATATTGTTCAACAGTATGGGAAGAAACTTCCCTCTCTTCTTACAATTCACGTTTATGTATTAAGTAAACATAAACGAATTGATGAACCAACAAAATAGCACATGCAAGAAGGACAGCATTGCATAATTAGTGCTCAAATATTAACAACGGTGTAGGAACAATTTAAAATAAAATAGAAAAAATAAAAAATAAAATAAAAAAAAGGTAGAAGAAGAGAGAGAGAGAGCTTACCATGAACAGGTTTCTCCACAAAAGGCTTCCAAAAGCGACTCCCATGAACCTCAACAAAATCATCTTCCTCAACAAAATAATCCAGCTCTTGATACGGCACTTCTCTATTTACAAGGGCATATCTTGGAACAGGAATTCCATATGTTTCAAGACGCTTGATTTTGAAGACAGAAGAGAAAGAAGGAAATGAAAAAGAAGGAGCATTAATCTGATTGCCTCTGTCACAAGCACTGAATGTAGCTGAAAAGCTAATGCATGCTGAAGTACCATAAACTTCCCATCATACATGTCTCCTATAAAAGCAGTCTAACACTGAAACAAGCCAACCCCACAAGCTTGCAGTAAGCCACTAAGACCATTCCTCTTAAAATACCATGAAGAAGGGAAATAATTCCCTTTACATGAATCACGCGGCATCACCAACGTGGTCAAAATCAAAGTTTCTCCATTGTCCACTCACAATGGATCATTATGTTGAAAGTACCCCCACAGAAAACCCCTCCTATTCAAAGGATGTGACCACAAAATGACAAAACACAACTGCCATTGCATCCATTAGCAACAACAACATTTGTAACAAACAAATGAATGGGCTCTCTCCACAAAGACTAAGTTCTCTCCACTCCCTCCAAGGACATTTATACTTTTAGATAATAAAGAGGCCTAATGGCTAATCCCTATCATAATGGCTAATAAAGAGGCCTAATGGCTAATCCCTCTTTTAGATATTAAAGAGCCCTAATGACAATATTACAATAAATATTGTCATAAAACAATAAACACCAATACTATGAATATGAACCTTGAAAAAGAGGGAAAATCACAAAGCATACCTTGTATACCTTCCTTCTATCATGAAGAAGGTGTTGTTGCACCAATTCATTTACAAGGAAAGGCCTGAAAAAACAAAGCATGTACAGCATTCTAGTAACCTTTTATTCATTTAATTACCTGAAAAAAAAACATATATTCATTTGGATAACTTCATAAGAAGGGTTTGCCATCCATTCCAAGAAGTTTTGCTGACAAGGTACATCAAACTTGTAAAACATGTAACAGTAAGAAAAAATGTTACTGTAGACAAAAGTAAAGTGTGCATCACATGCATGCACAACAGTACTCAGAGATAAATACACAAGAGTCAAAAACTAGCAGAAAAAGAAACTTCCAGACTTCCTGTTTTAATGAAAGCACAAATAGAGATCCTATAAACCCAAGAATGCCAAAAAGAAACTCACAAGACATTATGGTCCCCCTCCCTGCCACAGAACCAAAGTTATCAATACCTTACCAGACAGTGTACTGTTTTATTATCAGAACGGTATGTACCAGTACCAGTGCATTTCGGTGTACCCGGTACCATTTCAGATTTATTATTATAAATATTATATATTTTATAAAAATATTTATAATTTACAATGCACCCGCTTCACCTACGGCCTACGCTTGTATGGGTGTTACTAGGCACACCTCCCTCATAGACAACGATTATTTAAAAAAAGCCTGTTGTCTCAACATATAAAGTATTTGAGAGAGGGAAAAAAAAGAGGTGGAGAGGGAGAGAATAAAGAGAGAAAGAAACTTACTTCCTTAATGCAGCATATGCCTCAGCCTTTTCAAGGGGATAACCAGAAGAATAGAAGGCAATCAAGCAATCGCAAACTGGCCAACTGAAAATAAATTAGACATTGAGATGATTTAGTCATCTGGTAGAGAGTACTGCACACCAAGGATGCATCCTACTCTAGAAAAATATAGCTGAAACTTACAACATGAATGATGAATCTATTTAATCAAAGTTAATGACACACGGTATTGTCAGCTCAATCTAGGAAGGGCATTAAAAACATTGTATACTTTATGACTTCTTCAGTTATTAACAACATACCCATGGGATGTGCACACCTTCTTATAACTATAGGCCTTTTAGTGTGAACAAGCTTTTGAAGTTTTGTCACACCTTTTTCCATTTGTAAATTGACCCCATGTAACTAACCGCTGATTTCAAATTTTAAAAATTCTTCAATTTTTAACAGCATATACATCAGGGGTGCACACCTTCTTATATATATACATATATTCAAGTGCATTAAAAATCTATACATGCATTATTTATGATTGACAAGGACCTTTAGATCCAGCTAGGCATTGCAAGAAGACAAAATCAAGTATGTCTTTAATATAAGAAACTAACTTGGATTAAACCGTTAGCTCATCTCTTCTACAAACAAAACCAAAAATCTCATCCACAAAACCAACATTGACTAGAATCTCCATGAATTAATTAAAAACCACATATAAACAAAACATAATATGTTTTAGATAACTGCATCGAAATGTACCTCTTTATTGGATCTTCAAGAATAACTTTGTCCCCAAAATGTACGATCTACAATATATCATGAGAAAGAGCAAACGACAACTCATGTTCAGCTACGAATTAGGCAGTTGAGTACTTACATGACATAAAAAAACGAAAATAATATGATTGCATTGTTAACAATTTCAATTTCACTAAGCATTTTTACTTTTATAACCGAAGTCCTTTGAGTTCTCGTTTGTTTCCAAATCAACTTGTTCTCACTCCAATTCAATTTAAAACAGTAAAATACATAACGACTCGTCAAATAACAATCAAAATACCTCAAATTCACCAAAGGACTGTAGCCTCTCCAGAATCTGCGCCATCGGAGCGGAGAAAACCTATAGCAGATCATCCAGTTAGAACTACCAAAAAGTGATTATGTATTACAATAATAACAATAAAACGATTCATTGCATGCTCGGTTTTGGATTATATATAATTTGAGCAACAAGAACGGAACCTCGGAGCCGCATTTCACCTTCTTTTCCATTACGCATACGCCAATCTTTATCCTTTTACCAACACCTCCTGCCATCTCTTCCCCTTTCTCTCTCTATACTTTCTCTCTCTACATATGCAGTATCCGAATGCCTTTTTCACTTTCAAATCTCAACTTCACTGCTCAAACTCAACAAATCACAATAACAACACTGCATATGTATATACAGGTGTGTGTATATGTATGTAGATATGTAGATAGGTAACGAAACCACCAGAAATCGCCGCCGGAGATGCAAGAATCGAGCGAGAGGAGAAGAGAGAAGAAGAGCACCGATGTTATCGCCGCCGCTGGTAGGAGTAGAAAACAAGTCGGAAATACGCAGTTAAAATAAAAAGAAACGACCGAGACCTGTAAAGCGTGAGGCGGTTGAGATACACATATAAATTGAAATAATGTTATATGCACGATATTAATTAGTTGATTAATTAATGATTTAGTATAATTTAAAAGATATTTGATATTTATAATTTGTATAATGAATAAAATTAATAATAATGTTATAATATATGTTGGTATACTAATTAGTGCAGATAGATAGGGCTGTGTTTTGTTTTAGTATTTTTTTTTTATATTTATTTATGTAAATTACATTTTAGATTTATAATACCAAGTTTTATAGTTTGTTAAAATTATATCAATTTTTTTAATATTTTAATTTACATAATATTGATTTTTGTTTTTATTAATAATTTATTAATTATATGAATAAATATATATTATTTATTTTATATTGAATATATATTAGTTCTTGTTTATCTTATGATTTCATATTATTTACATTAATTTATATCTATTTAACAATAAAAATAACGTTAATATAATTATACTAAAATTGTGAAACTGCTAGTATTTTTAACCAAATCTCGAGGAGGTTGCATAATTTACTTAATTAATTTTGGTAATAAGTTTTGTTATTTAAAATTTTTAATGAGTTATGAAAAGTGTTAAAATTTTAATTTTTATTATTGATGAAGTTCAGATGCAATTTCATTTTGTCTTTAGTAAACAACTATTTTAATTTTTTTGATTTAAATATAAAAATAATAATTTGAAAATGAAAAAAAAATAAAAATAAAAGAAAAGTCCAACAATAATTTTAAAATATAATGTAATGTTTTTTAATCATAACGAAACAGAAGATGTAGTTGGGTAATTGTGTTAATGGATACATATTCTACTGACTTGATACGTGTTGTGTGTGGAGGTGGGTGTGTGATTTTGGATATGAAATTTGGATTCTCGAATATACATACAATTGGGGAGGGGACTTTGGATGGGGACGCAGAAAGGCTTATAATTGTTGGCTTTACATTTGCCCCTTTTTCTTCTCTTTCTTTTATCAACTTCGGCTTTATATTGCTAACTTTATGATAAAGTTGTTTGTCCTTGTCATTGTATTTAGTCTTTGTATAAAGTTTGAGCGATCCTTTTTGGGGATTCATATAAAAAAAAAAAATTTTGAAGTCCAAAAATAAAAAAAAAAGATACATATCATATTAAAAAATTATGTCAAGCATTATGAAACATTTTATTTGTTGTCACATACATCTTACCCTTTTTTTTTTGCCTTTTTTTTTTAGATAAACACTTACATCTTACATATTATCTCGTATTGTGGATTTGAAAATTTATTTATAGTTTTATCATGAAAGCATGCTTTAGCCTTTAAGCATGCTCTTGACATTTTTTGTGTTGTGGATTTGAAAATTTATTAGATTAGTTTTATCATTAAAGTATGCTTTTGACTTTGAAGATATTCAAAACATCTCATCGGTAAAGGTTAATGGCTCTTTTTCTTTGTTATATTTTAATATTAAACTTTGAGATACAATAAATAGTTCATGATTTTATTTGTTATAATGAAAAAGAAATAGAATGATCATCTTATTATAGGATGTTAGTAATGGGCGCCCATGTGGCATGACCATTTGAACATAATTTGGATCTTATCCAAATAGGTTTTGAATTAAATTCAAACCTATTTAGGATAACCACTCAGGATATAGATATTATCAGTTTTAACTGATATGGAAAAATAATAATAATATAATATATATCTGATATATGGTTATGGGTAACCAAGACAGAAACAACGTAGGTTTTGTTTCAACCCATAAACTTACTCTCTCCCAAGAAACAACGATCAAGTCATTTGCACTGTGGTTTGTGTGGGTAATATTCACCATTGTAATATCACCTCACTGCTGGAATTGATTGATTAGATTCTGGAAGCACGTGATTTATCCATGAGGTTTTAGATCGAATCAGGTATGATCTAAACATTTTATTCCGCTGCAAGTTTTGTGATCTATGATTTACATAGGATCATACTCATCTTTAATTGATTAAAAAAATAAAACTAAAATCATTAATTTATTTCTATTGTATCCAAAAAAAATAATAATAACAATAATAATAATCATCAAATGTTATTTTTTATTTTTTTTATTTTAAAAACCACTGCGATCAAAATTAAAGTTAATAGTTACTATCATAGAAGTATTATCTCTATAACTTTACAATAATCAATTTTATTGTACATTATGTACGTCATACGCATTCTGTTATATTTCAACGCAATTGATCAAAGATTTTGATAATAATTTAATGTTTTCAAAGTAATCATGTGATATTTATAATGATAAATTTTAGTCAGCAACATGAATGATCAGCTCTAATCATATAAATATCTTATTGGTTTGGTTGATAGAGACGATTAGATTGACTATTATAACTTTGTTGAGACGAGATAAGCATATATAAGGACAAAAAAAAATCACAAAATCATAAAATGACAAAATATTTAATTTTTGATGTAAAATTATCAAATTGACCCATATATAAATAAAAAATCAAAAAAGTATCATTTTTAAGTGGAGGGCAATTTTATCATTCTAATTCAAACCAAACAAGAAAATCAAACGAACAAGAAAATCCCAGACTAAAAAAATCAAAATAATTAAAAAGCTAAATTTACCAAACAACACCTAAATTATTAGCAGTTAAAATTTTAAGTCCGTGGTATTATTGCCAATGGTTTGAGAGTGGTGGTTCCGGCGTGACCTGCGCCGACCTTAGAGTAGTTGGCCCAGTCAACGAAAGCAAATTCCAAGTCATTTCTTATTACCTAACCTATTATTAACACAAAAACGGGAAGTGATTGAGAGCCTCCAGAACATTAATTAGACCCTCTTAAAATACTCATCCCCACAATTCCCACACTCATCCCCACAATTCCCTCACACACATGAAGGTTGGGGATTGGGTGAGAAGGAAAAAAAAAAAAAAAAATTGGCCAATCAAAACTAAAGGGAGTCAAGAGGGTGACCCCCAAAGGGGGTCTCAACCTTTATTCAAAAAAAAATTGACCAATCAGAAAGAGAGGGTCAAAGGGAGTGCCTCCTTAAGAGGTCCAACTCATTTTCCAAATTAAATATAGAACTAAACACAGATAATATGAATAGATTATATTTTACAAAAATTTATTTGTGAAATCCACTCTTTAAAAAAGTTATTCATCTATTTATATTGTGACTAATTCTGACTTTATTTGATTTAATTTTTAAAAAATTATTTTTAAATGTGTAATTTTATAATTTTTTATATTTTCAATACATTAAGATTAGATGCATCTAAAAAGTTTTTAAAAAAACTAAATATGAAAAAATTCACCAAAAAAACAAACAAAAAAATAGTGTTTGGTTTGGTTTGCTTTGAAGAGAGTGATTTTCAAAAAAAAAAAAATTTGAGAGAATTTAAAAATATTTTTAGTTTGTTTGATTGTATATTTTGAAAGTAGTTTTCGAGTTTGGGATGATTTGATATTTTGTTGTAATTGAATAAATATATGTGAGAGAAAAAGTGATTGAAAAAGAGAAGAGAGAAAAAAAATGATTGATTAATGTATAAGAGAGAGAATGATTTTAAAATTTTTTTGAGAAAAACCCACAAATCAAACAAAATTTTGAAAAAAAATTTCAAAAGCAACTCTCCCAAATCAAACCAAACAAGCCCAAGATTTTTATTCAAAATTGCATTTATTTTTAATAATTTTTTCCTCATATTTTTTATCAATTTCTTTTACTTTTAAAATGCATCTAAATCATGTGCATTTACAAAGGGGGGAAAAAATTAATGAAAATACATTTTTAAAAATTCACTAAAAATCATCCAAAAAATTTGTTTGAAAAATCAAACCCAGCAAACTCCTGTGTTCTTAGACTTTTGACAACCCAATGAGTTGTTAGAAGGCTTTGCACCGTACCAATTGAATTGTTAGATTATGCCGCATTCTCAATGTTTATAATCACTCAAACTCTTGTTAAATCTCTCATTCGAGCCTCAATTTGGAATACAGTTCTGCCTCCAGCTATAGGAAAGCATAGAGTTTTTTCTGAGATAGTGTTATTGACTTTCTGATATATGTGGACGTAGAACTGAAACCTATTAGCAGGATAGTCATTTTCATAGAGACCACTTCTTCCAAATTATCAGGATAGTCATTCACACTGTTGACGTTACTCAAAATATAAAGAAACCCATAGCATCAATGGATATGCTACCAGAATTTGTGAGATTCGATACTTGATGACGACTTTCATTTCAATTCCTTTTCATTCTTTTGGACTTTCTTTTTAACCTTTTTATTTTTGGTTGTCAACCTCATGTACAACCACCAACTGCTAAGAGCAAAACCCAGAATTCATGTACAACTAAACATGTTCATAATTCTGTCTCTTCACATAGCATTCAAGTATTCCCAAAGCCAACTCGTGTGGATGACAAATTCAAGGCTTGCGTAGCAAAATGAGGAAAAGACGATGAGGATCGAAATTGAAGATAATATTCAGTTCACGATTTGATTGGGACCTTTTGAGCTCCTACCTCCAAGCTTCTTGGAAAATCACGCCCTGTTCGGTAGCTGAAATCTTATAATAACATTGTCGGAGTGCAAACGTTCTAACTCAGGTTGACTGCTATGTTGGTAGGCTTATCTTACAACTTCCTCGTTCAGTTTAGCAGCCACTGCCAGATTGCCGATGCTTGTTCCTGCAATGTATCCACCAGACCAAGCATTCTGCAACCAAAAATTAAAAAACAAAATAAAACCCATAATGAAACTAAAGTAGCCTAGTGGAAGCATATGGATCTAGTTTGTGTCATCATGTTCAGCTAATAATTGAATATAATAACAAATTATATGACTTGTGACTTTGCTTGAATGAGAGGGCAAAATGATTCTCCTCGTTGGGAAGTTTGTTCTAGAGCAGTTATATTTCAGAGTACTGTGACAAAACAAGGATAATTACACATGGAAACTACCAAGGTTAACATTCTTACACAATGAATGTTGAAGGAAAGGAATTTCATAGTAACAAATGGGGAGCTACAATTTAACATCACTATAGAGATCAATTACAAGAAGAGATTTGGAAGTAGAATTCAATTATCTATAGTCAACGTAGTCCATCCACATATCAATAGTTGACGATAATATATGTAAATGAATGAATTTCTTCCTTAAACATGTTCCTTACCTGGAAATTGAAACCACCAGTTACTCCATCAATATTCAGTACCTACAGAAGCTTCAACTCTTGAGTGCCACAGTGGGGACTAAACCATTTGGAAATATTGAGAAAAAATAGCATGGTTAAGCGGTAGGGTCACAGAATCTAGCCCACAACTTAGAGGTATTTCACCCATAAGGATGCAACAGCACTCCCTAAGCTTTCACATAAAGAAAAGAAAATGAAAAACCAGAAAGTACTAGTAACGCTACCTCTCCAGCAAAGAATAGATCTGACTGGATCTTGCTCTCCATTGTGCTGAGTGTGATCTTCACAAAGCAACAGGAAAAGAATTTAAGTTTCGACACTAGAGCATGTGTACGAGAAAGAGCTCACACACGAGCAGAGAGAGAGAGAGAGAGAGAGAGACAACCTCAGACAAAGGAACTCCTCCAGCTGTGACAAATTCATCCTTAAATTGGCCCTTCATTATTAAAGTATTATATAGAAGAATCTGAAGAAAAATAAATAAAATATAGATTTGAAAAGTGAAATTCAGGATCGTACCTTCCCTTTCACTCTAAATGAGTACTGCTTCAACAGAGAAGCAACAGATAGTAATGTGTTATTTGAAACAGAAGCCCACAAGATATCCCCATTTAAACCCTGCATGTGAAATTTGAAAGTCATTATATGGGAGCAACCTTCCACCAGTAAAATCCAACGAATGATCAGTCAAAAAGAATGGCCATACAACCTCACGATCCAATATATATTTCCAAAATCTTTTTACAAGGCCAAGTTTAGAAGGACACCAATTGAGCACTTTTTGCTTCTGCAGAAGGTAGAAGTAATATATTCAGTAGTAAGGAAACATAGTACTGCCGTTTCTTGCACAGTAAAATCAATAGGGTGAAAAGCAGAGTAGAATAATTAGGATTGTAACACTAAACAGAATGAAGTATCCACAGGGAACAAGAATTCAGGGGTATCAACTTTCAAGAGGATTCTTATTCTTAGGAGTTACACAGCCTAAAACATTACTTCTGAGGCAATATTTTTTCTCTGTTACACTAACATAACATCTATAAAAATCCATATTGATTGGGGTTTTAGGTGCTGACTCACATACTCCCTCATTTAAATAGCTTAATGGAAAATACAGGGTATGTTTGGTTTGTGTTTGAGAGATGTGTTTTAGAGATAAAAAGTACGAAAAGTTGTTTGGTTTAGTTTTTTTCAAAAGATGTTTTGGAAAATTATTTTGAGAGAGAGATTTGGAAAAAGTGATTGATTTGATGTGTGTGAGAAAGAGATTTGTTTGGAAAACTTGTTTGGTTTACAAGTTTTGAGAAATTTTTTTTGGAAAAATTTGTTTGGTTTGATTACTTTTAAAAACTTATTTGTAGAGAAAATTTTCCAAAATTTTTTCAGAAATACAAACCAAACGAACCCACAGTTTCTATGGTGTTCATTTGTTTCAAAATCTCTACTTGCATGGCAACCCAACTACCATGATCCTTTCTTTTTTCATGAATAATCACGAAAACATTAACCTTTTAGAAATGGTATTAATCCTACTTGATATGTAAAATTCAGCCAGTAGGTACTAGCTTCGCAAGTGATAATAAAGGTTGGAGAATATAATTACCACAAACTGATTCTTGTGTTGAATAAGAATGGACTTCACATCATCAATATGAACATCAGGAATAAAATCCACGTGTAGTATTCCTAAACCAGAATAGTATCAAGTTGAAGAGAGATAACTTGAAATGTAAATATAAAATGCAAAAGAAAAGATAGAACCATTCTTTGCCTTCATAATCTGAACTGAACAAATTACGGGCTCCCCAAGCAGATAACCGAAGGATTACTGGCCCACTCAGTCCCCAGTGTGTGACTAACATGGGTCCAACCTATAATCACAAAAGTTTGGTTGTATGATACATATATTTGTTTTTCCAAATGATCTCAATTAGAAAAACATGCCTGTGTAAGTTGTGGTATACTCCTCCCAACAGTTTCTAACTTTAACTTCGCTTTAACTTTAGGAAATGTAACCTGGACATGAAAAATAAAAAAGAAACACATTCTAAGGAAGAATTTTGAAAGATACAAGACCATTCATATAAGATTAAAAAAACAACGCCCAAATAATACACATTAATATGTGTTTGGAAGGGAAAAGATTGGGTACATACATAACCTTTGGCATGGTACACAAAGTGGTTGCCCCAAGATTTGAACCCATAACCTCAAAGTTACTAGGCCAAGGTTTTAAAAGATTAAAATCATTAATGAAATGTTTGGGAACCATAAGGAGGAAAACCTTAAGGAAGAAAAGAAAAATGCAAATGATAATCTTCAAAGTTTATGAATGAATAAGTTTGTCCAGTGGAGAAGATTGTCCAGTCATAAAACAAGGAACAATACAATCCAAATCTTTTGATATGCCAGTCAAGAATCATGCATTATCTAGATTGCAACCACCAATCCTTAAAATCAATACTTCATGAGAGATTAAAACCTTCAAGTAACCACTTCATTTTATTTAAAAAACATGCTCATTTTTATCTTCACATTATGAATTCTACAACCATGCAAATAGATGGGATACGCACACTTACATTGAGGGTATACAACAACTTAGCAACCTCCTTCACTGACATGACTATTGTTCATAGTCAAGGCAATAAATCGTTTGGCAATTGGCTTTTTTAGCCAAAGAGCCAAAAAATCACTAAAAAAACCAAAAAGTCAACAACTCATACAAAAAAGTCAAAAATTCCCTTTTCTCTCTACTTTTTGCACATCTTTTAGTAAAAAACTAAAAAGTCATCCCAAACATACTAGTTTTTTCTACATCACATTTTAGCCAAAAAAACAAAAAAGTTACTAAAAAAGCCTTTTCCCAAACGAGGCCAAGACAATAATCAACTAGTAACGGAGAGATTTGAATCAATTAGAAAAGCACATTACCCCAGACAACTCTGCCAACTGGGGATCGTCAATCTTGAAAGTGAATAGGCTTGGTACTGGTTCTACTATAGAATGACCCACTTGTGTAGCAAGAGTATATCCCTGGAACATCAACAAGAAAGCTTACCAACACAAATATCTAATCTACTACAATGTCAATAAACCTACAATAGATAACAACCTGCTTGCTACTGCCACTTGCAATTAATAGATAATCAGCTTCAACATAGTCTACAAAATCTATTGTACGCTTCTCAATCTTCAGAAGAAATTTCCCACCCACAGTCACAGATGCAGTTGTAACAACTTTGCCAGTCTGCAGCAAAACTGATTGAGTGACTTGTATTTCAGAATAGACTGCTTGATATATCTCATGATTTTGAAAAAGTGTGATATTAAATTCTATGAAAAACTATCAATGAACTTAACATCTAAGACAATGTCCATATAGCATGAGGTATATTCTCCATGTGTAGAAGATCCCCCTAAAAGATACTATTTTTTTTTCTTCTCCTCAGAATGTATGTGCATGAGCAATCAAGCTTTACATATCCCTTTACTATGGAAGGCATAGATAGAATGTTCATCCGGAGTAGGATTTAGAGTCTTAACAAAAGAAAAGACACTTCAACCTTTGCCTCATGGCTCACAATTGGTAATAAAATTCCTGATATCATGCTTCTAAGTTGGGGTGCCTGTTCCACAAATCCAATGGAAGAAAATAATTTATGGATTGTCTTATCATATTTTTTTACACACTGCCCCTAAAGCTAAAATATATGATTTAGTCACGGTGATAACTGTTCTCAAAAGCTAACAGAGTCACATAACCTAGTACATATGAATACGATATCAAAAGAAACTACAGTTGGGATGCTATGCAACACAAAACCAAGAACTCATCTCAACTAAGTGTTCGCAAACTACTTAGGGTCGGCTGCATTGGTGCTATTTAGCCATTCACTCAATCAACAGCCATAATCCTGGTTAAACTAAAAACTAACATGCCTTTCTTATCCAACACTAGACTATGAATGTTACGAAACAATAGTTCAAAAATATAAGACAAAAAATTGCTAACCAATGATCTTTAGCACATCAAATTAAGAATATTTTCTTCGTGTGCAGACAGATGTTGAAAACTGGACCTACATTCAGCTGGTTGAAAGGTCCAGCCATTTCAATATTGCAGGTGGAGGAGTGTAGGATTGGTTGACTGAGGTTTGGTGGAAAAAAGGGTCCAAACAACATCTACCAAAAAAGATAAATAAATTGAACTGTGAAAATAAATATAGTAAGAGAAGTACACAGACGATACATGCAATAGTTAATACAAATACATACCTCCCCTTTGCTTTGCTTCTGACAAGAGGCAATCGACTACAGAAGATGAGTTGTTACTGACTGGAAATACCCTTCCATCATCCTCAGTCTGACACCAGAATGGTAACACTCGATTCTAAGCATAAATGACTGAAGCCAATACATGATATTGTAAAAGAAAGCATTAACAGCATAAATGAAATAGAAGAAAGGAAGCAAAAGTGTGTAGTTTCTAGATGACCTTCAGTTCCACCCCAAGATCAGAAAACCAGGACATGGTATCCTTGGGACCATGCATACTGAAGAAAGAGCCTCTAAGTTCCTTATTACCCCTAGGATAATGTTCTGCCAAAATCTATTCACAAAGTCAGCATTATGAACATCATATGATTACGTAAGACACTTCAGCTAAACTGAATAGTTTATTTACAGAAATTAAAATATATATACACAAAGGCAACTAAAGAGGGCAGATTGAGTTCAATCCATGCAATTAAAACAAGCTCTTTAGTGAAATTATTTTGTATTTTGATTTCATTTAGCATGTAAGATAGCAGGGGAACTTCAAAGTCAAGAATATTCAAAAAAATCATTGGATTATTTAATTTCCTTTTTGTCTTAATCATAGCTACTTCAATTTAAAGATACTCCACCAAAGTCCAACATGGGCCAAAAAATGTCATAACTTCTTGTTAGAATTTACCACTCACCTACTACCTCCACTATCTTTCTCCACACCTACCACCTCCACTATCACACACTCCACTACCATCCACCTCCACTATCACACACTCCACTACCATCTTCTCCTCTATATATAGGAATTGTAATATACACCTACTACCTCCACTATCTTTCTCCACACCTACCACCTCCACTATCACACACTCCACTACCATCTTCTCCTCTATATATAGGAATTGTAATATACAAAATATAATCAATCTTGTATCAATATATCAATCTTGTAATACATCAATCAAATATAAATCAATCAATAATACAATTCTCTATTTCTCTTTATACATTAAATTTCTACACTTCTAGTGTGAGAAACCCATGTGAAAATCCAAAGCTAGAACTGGGGAGCCCAGGGTCTCACAGTAATGATTTTCTGCACTCTTCCCACTGATGTACATCTTATTCCACGTCAAAGAAAACAATGACAAGCTGAGTAATCTCTATTTATAAAACATATAGCCTTAAGATTATGGCACGAGAGAAATTGAGATTACAATAAAAATAAATAAATAAATAAATAAATAAAATTGATAAATAAAAATTGAGATTACAATACTAATACAGGATCCAGATATTGATCAAGTCAGCAAAAAAAATAGAACGAGTGTTTGATATCAGTTGAATCACTTTAAGAAAATCAAATGCAGCAGACATTTTTCCTTTCAATCAAGGGCAAAACTGCCATCAAGTGAGAGTTCAACCCACCATATAAGAGCCGATCAAAAACTGGACAGAGCATGGAGTGCTTGGCTAAAGTCCTCAGCAAGATAACAAATGTTTATTCTTTATACATATCAAGTAATACAAACAGGCTTCACAAAATTACTCTGGTGGCATGGACTACATATAAGCCAAAATGATATTTTTTAAAAATCAAAAGGACTCTAGCCCCATTATTAAACTCAAAGAACTATATCATGTTCAAGAATTAGTTATAACCATAATGGTCTCATTAAATAACAAATTCACATTACATAAATGTATGTGTAGACGTAGTAAATTTGAAACATAAAAATGCTCACCAAATTGTCACTACAATGCCCATTTGTCACATTGCATCGGCCACCTCCAGAAATTTTAACCTTCCAAATAGAAAATCATTCACTTCAGCAAAATTACAAACACATATAATTTACTAATTGAACAAATGAATACTGTTTTAAGTTACAAAAATCATTCAATAGTGTTCTAATTATCTAACTATGCACAATAACCCAAATATATACACTCCAAAAACAATCCAAACCTTTGACAAGGGCTTCCCTTTTTCAATAACAACCACATTCAGATTTGGTGCAATGGTTTTAGCCCTAATTGCTCCATAAATTCCAGCTGCTCCACCGCCAACCACCACCAGTAACTCTGCTTCACTTGACTACCCACCGATTAATATACAGATACACAAGTCAGAAACAAAACTCACAAAACAATCCTCTGAATTTGTTTATGTGTATATGTATGTTGTCACTCATGCATACATTTAGGTTTGTAAAAATTTGTTACCTGTTGAGACAATAAGGGTTTAGATGTACTGTATCTTCTTTTGTTGGTGGAGAAGATGAAGAAACCATGGTTTCTGGCGTTGGTTGAAGAGGGCTTGGAAGAAACCCCAAATCGAAGGATGAAACGCGGGAATGCGAAGCTCGTCATAGTTCACGACTGTGAACTTCCACCCATGTGTAATAGATAAAAGAGAACTATAGAGTCGGGTCCTAGGACCCATTAAAGTCGGGCCATTTCCTTAAATAAGTCAAATTATCAATTTAATTTTTATATTAGGCCTAATTTTTGAAAGATTTCTTAAAATAGGCTAAAACGTGGTTTAGAATCACGCTTTCACGTTTGTGTACCTGTCCCGCGTGAGGATTGGAAAGTCTTAAAAGCGTGGTTACAAAACGCGCTTTTAATTAAGAAAGCGCTGTTATAAGAGGCACTTTTAATTAAATTTTTTTTCTTTTGAAATCGCTGTTCTGAACCACGCTTTTAACTTACATTTTTTAGTTCTGAAAGCGCGGTTGTGAACCACGCTTTTAACCAAAAAAAAATTCTTCTGAGATCCTGTTTACGAACCACGCTTTTAACTTAAATTTTTTTTTCTTCTGAAAACGTGGTTATAAACCACGCTTTTTGGCAAAAAAAAAATTGTTCTGAAAGCGTGTTTGTGAACCACGCTTTTTATACGATTTTTTTTCTTTAAGTGAAAGTATGGTTTGTAATCATACTTTTAAAACTTATATAAAATCTCCCTAGCCCCGTCTTTTGCAATCACACTTGTTACACCTTTCACTCTCGCTGCCTGCTCTCTCTCTCGCTCTTACTACTCTCTCTCTCTCTCTCTCTCTCTCTCTCTCTCGCTCTTACTGCTCTCTCTCTGTCGCTGTGCTCGAGCTCCCTCTGCTTCAGTATTGTCGCTCTCTGTGCTCTTTCTCGTTGGTATGGCTTCTGTATCTCTCTGTTGATCTACTTTAATGCGTTTTTTCTGTTTGTGAAAATGTGAATGTGGGTATAATATTGGTGGAATAAGGTTCATGAATGTGGGTATAATGTTGATAGAATAGGGTTCATGAATATAGGTATAATGTTGGTAGAATAGGGTTCATGAATATGAAAATGTTGTGAAATCAGAAATAATAAATTAGGGTTAGGGTTTATAATTGTGAAATCAGAAATTACGATTACGATTTGAGAAATTAGGGTTTTGAATTGTGAAATCTGTTTAAAAATTTGTGAAATCTGTTTAGAAATGGGAAATCTGTTTATAATTGTGAAATCTGTTAAATGTGAAATCAGATTTCTATTCAATGTGACATCTGTTGAATGTGAAATTTGTTGAATGTTGAATCTGTTTAGAAAAATTTAAATATTATGTTTGAAATGAGAAAATAAGGGTTATGGTTTTCTATTGAATGTGAAACCAGAAATGAGGGTTTTGGTTTTGAATTGATGAATGTGAAATCATTTTTCAATTAGGGTTAGGGTTTTAAATTGTGAAATCAGAAATGAGGGTTATGGTTTCAAAAATTAAGGTTTAACAAATTTATGATAAGTTAAATTTTTTTAATAATGTTATATGATTTTTTTTAGAAACAAATAATTATCTATAATAATAATAATTTTCTTGTATATTATTATCGTAACTAACTTTATAATTTCTTGAAAAAAAATATGGCAAAACACAAGAAAATCTAATTTTGTCTATATAAAAATTATCTATAATTAAAATTTCAAAATTTTCTATCCCTTTCTTTCAAAATTTCCAAATTATTATTTTTTTCTTTCACTTTCACTTTCCACAAATTTTTCTTTTTAATCAAAACATATTTAAGGAATAATCATGCCATTCCCTTTTATTTTCATTCCAATAAATTAAGCACAACCTAACAATATTTACGATATATTAAAAAAAATAAAAATAGAATCATATAATATATATCAGTGTCATACAAAATTGAATTACAAGGAACTATGTATAAAATTGTCATGGTTAGTCTAGTACTAATTATCCCGAGTTCATAGATCCAACTGATCATTATATCATTTTTTCTTTCTCTATTATGGAAAGTATAAGGGGATGTTTGGCATAAAAGAAAAGCAAGTTCAGCCAAAAGAAAATGAGGAGAAAATTTAAGGGAAAAGGAGAGAAAATTTTCAGTTGTGAGAGAGTGGCCGTGTCCTTCACCGTGAATAGTCTAAGTGAAACCCAAAATGGTCGTCGACGACGTTCTTCTGATTGGGAATTACAAATAAATTTTATAGGGTTTTCAATTGTAAAATCAGAAATTAGGGTTATGGTTTCAGGAATTTGGGTTTTGAATTGTGAATCCTGTATATATTTATTGCATTGTAAACTGTGAATCCTATCTAGTTTTTTACAAATTAGGTTTTTGAATTTTGAATTGTGAATCCTGTCTATATTTTTTGAATTGAAAATTTAATTTCTGATTGCTTCTTAGTCCTGTCGATATGGTTAAATCTTGTTATTCTTTCGCTTATCTCTTTAACTTCATCATTATGCCACTATAACTACTACAAACAATTTTTTGGGTTGTTTTAAGAAATAAGTTAAAAGCTAATTTTTTGTATTTTTAATTTTTTTTTTTCAAAAAACGTGTAAAAAAATACTGAAAATGCCTTTTTTACCTCTTTGCCAAAAATTTTGATATAAATAAATGACTTTTTACAAAAAATTTGATATAAACATTAGAGGTCAAAAAATTTGATATAAACATTAGAGGTGATCCACAAAAAATTAGAAGTAAAAAAATGACTTTTTACCTCTTTGCCAAAAGAGGCCTTTGATGTCGTCCTGGAAAATGCTATTATCAAAACATTTGATATAAATAAAAAAAATTGTTTAAAAATTATGTTTGAAAAAATTAAAATATTTGATTTATAAAATGACTCATTCTCGATAATTTTTACCCACTTGAATTATCCAATTGACTTATTCTCTATGCGCCTGCATTATGTTTATTCAATTAAGTTTTAACTTTTTATGATAGTCGAATGTCTGAATCAGTTTACGTATTTATAGACTAATGTTACAATCCACACCAAACATCCCTTCCACGTAGATCCGACAAATCTCAATTAATACCTATAAACATGACACATACTGAGAGTTCAACTTGAGACTTGGAAGGAGCATACCTAATTTTTAACACATAATGAGAGCTCATTAATATTAATGAAACTCAAGTTAATTTGACTCGGTTCAGGTCGATAATTTTTTTGTTATGTTATTTATATTGCTTAAAATTATGAGAGCTCATTAATTTTTTATTTAGGTTATTTCTTACGTTATTTCCCTAAATTATTTCCTATGTTATTTCGTATGAGGTTATTTCCCTAAGAGAATAATCTCATAGGAAATAACCTACCAAATAATTTTGTCATTAAGGTCCCTAATGGCAGAAGCTTGAGCAAATAAAAGTAACTTCTCTCTAATTGTCCTTAAATCTCATTAATTTGACCACCAGTTTTAAAAAATTACGTGAACAATGTTTCAAATAAAAATTAAGAACAAGTCATACAAAATCAGTCGAGTTATTTCAACTCAATGAAAAAAATAATAATTTCATAGAAAAAGTTACACTATGATTTAAGATTTTTGTATGACTTGTCCAATTTTGTCCAATCGCACTGAATAAATACAATACTTGATACAAATTATACTATAAAATTATATGAACAGAAAAATAAAAGAAGAATCTTCATAATGTCTTCACATTCAAAATTATTGATATATCTGTCTAGTTTATCGAAATACTAAAAAAATAGATCAAGATTTATCAAAATATCCTCAAAATAAGTGTTTTTTAAATTGTTACCATTTACATGCATACGATTAAATCATTGCCCAAATTAGGGGCTTTTCCCAAATTAAGGCAAAATAGTAATTTATTTCCCAAAATATACTTAGTTTGGACAGAATTCCTAAACTAAGCTAAAACGCGGATACAAACCACGCTTTCACTGTTTTTGTGGCCCTCCCACGAACAATTTGTAAAATCTTAAAAGCGTGGTACAATCCACGCTTTTAATTAACAAAACGTGATTACAAATCATACTTTTAAGGAAATTTTATTTATACATAAATTTTTAAGTAATTATTTTTTTAATGATTTTTTTAAAGTAAATCTGATTAAGGAAATTTGATTTATACATAACCATGCTTTTGTTAAGTAATTCTTTTTATCTTCAGAAAACGTGGTTGTAAACCACGGTTTTACTGTTGACCCGTGGATAATAACCACTTTTAAGCAAAATGTAAAAATTCAACAAAAAATTCAAAACCAGCACTCATTCTTATTTCTCACAGACTTTCACACTCACTCTCTCTATCTCTCTCTCTGACACACGCACCCACAACACTCATACTCACATCAAACATATATAATTTGTAATATATATAAGTTGTATTTTATAAAATTCAGACCAATATTAAATATATATAATAATAATTGATAATAGTAAATAATAATCAACTATATAAAATGATTATTTTTTTACTTTAATTCTTAAAATGTAATTTTTTTATTTAGGTAAATTACACTGACACCCCCTGAGGTTTATGTTTATGACAGTTATTCCCCCACCTTTGAAAAGAAAAATTCATTGGCAAAAAAAATAAAATTAATTGGAAAAATAAATTATTCCAAAAGAAAAATTAAATTAAAAAAAAAATTATTTGTTCTGAATTTTATAAAATAAAATTTATATATATTACAAATTATATATGTTTGATATGAGTGTGAGTGTTGTGGGTGTGTGTGTCAGAGACAGAGATAGAAAGAGTGAGTGTGAGTGTCTGTGAGAAACAAGAATGAGTGTGTGTGTGACAAAGAAGAGTGAGTGCTGCTTTTTGATTTTTTGTTCAAAATGTGTTTTGAAAACACGTTTTTACATATTTTACTTACAAGCGTGGTCACGAATATGTATAAATCAAATTTCTTTATGTATAAATCAAGTTTACCAATACTTTATAATTTATATAAAGTCACAACCTACACTCATAATTTATGTAATGATTAGAAATTTAGGTAAATTAGAAATATTGTTACTTTGATGTAGGTTGTTACTTTGATGTAAAGTTAGGTTTACCTACACTCAAAAGTTTACCTACCTCATAAGATTGTTGGATTTTCCTACACTCATAAGTTTACCTACACTAAAAGTAACAAGATTAACAACTTACACTCATAAGTTT